CTGGTCAGAGCTTTCAATTTTATCATAGATTCTCTGAGTAAATGCCTAACAAATACCTTTATGAGTGAATTTCCCCATGTCATCAATTGCTCTTTTCTTTAAAAGTGACTTTTTTGTTTTAGAATTCTGTTCCAGTGTTGTAAGTAGGTCTTAGGTCAGCCAAGGGTTCTCTTTTGTAGCAAGCTCTAAAGATAATTGAAATATTTCCTCTTAAAAATCATACCTTATGGTCTCCAAAGACCAAATTAAAAACAAAGCCCCAAAAACAAAAAAATAGGTTTTGTTTTTTTAGTCAAGGAAATGAATTAATGAACTCTAAGAAAAGATTTTTGAAAGACAGAAAGGAAAATGAGAAAAGCAGAATTTCATGCCCAGGAGTCATTTTTAGACCTTTGACTTTTATGGAAAGAGGTACACAGTTGCTCTAGTGAATGGAGTTTTAAGAAGTCTTCTGTTTCTATGCAGCAGCCTCACACTGCTTTAAACAACTGCTCCTTTATTACCCTTGCCAAACCCACAATGACCAAAGAGACCACTTAGTGACAAAGGGATACAATTAGGAAGTTTCTAGAAAGATATATTGAGGTGGTTAGCTGACCCTTCCAGACGGACTAGCTGTTGTCCAGTGTCTTCCTGCTGGTCAGTTGCAGAGTCCGTCTTGAGCTTGAATTTGCAAATGTAACCATGTGTGGTATGTACCTGAGGTCACAGGAGTTTTACACTAGTCATTTAAAGATAAAGATTATTGCATACAGAATTCACACTCTCGTGGTACATTCCTGAAGAACCATGGAGCACCCAGAGCACAGATGTTTTCTGCTATAAATCAAAGATCTCTGAGAGCCACATCAAAGACAAGAAAGATGCTTTTCCTTCCACCTGAGAGATGGCTCAGCATGAGGACTTTGTTTCCAAATCCTGACCCACGTGGTGGAGGTAAAGATGCCAGTGTCTTCCTTGATCATGCTTCCCTTGTTTTTATTTTGAGACAGCCTCTCACTGAACCTTGAACTTATGAGTTCAGCCAGATGAGCTGGGTGATGAGCTAGAGGACCCAACCTTCTCCATTTCTCCAGCACTATGATTCTAGACCGTGCTGTGCCTGGCTCTTGCTGTGGCTTTGGAGGTTGGCAGTTGGGCCTTCATGTTTGCATGGCAAACACTCAACTGACTGAGCCATCCTCCTGTCCCAGCATGAACAATTTTAAAGTGGGTTTTGGGGTTGTTTCTATTGCTTTGGCTTAAAAAAAAAAAGATTTACTTTTGTATATCTGTGTCTATGTGGGGGTATGGGCATGTGAGTTCAGCTCCCTGAGCTGGAGTTACAGGTGGTTGTGAGCCATTGTTTGTGGGTTTTGGGAAATGAATTCTAGTCTTCAGGAGTAGTTAGTACAAGCTCTTAACACTGAACCACCTCTGCAACCTGTTTGGCTTGTTGAGCCAGGGTTTCAGTCTGGCCTAGAATTTGTTATCTTCCTACCTCTGGCCTCTTGTATGCTACAATAACAGGTGTGAGCCTGCATCTGGCTATATTTTTATTTATCAGTTAAACATAATTTAAAAACCTAAAACAGCGAAATCTACAATTGTACTTTCTTTTCTTTTCTTTTTTCTTTTCTCCTTCTTTTATTTTTTGCATTAGATTAAGATGTATTTTAAACTGGGCACCTTTAATCCCAGCACTCAGAAGGCTGAGGCAGGTGGAACTCTGTGAGTTCAAGGACAGCCTGGTCTACAGAGTGAGTTCCAGGACAGCCAGGGCTATGAAGAAAAATCTTGTCTCAAAAACACAAACAACAATAATAGCAAAAAGATGCATTTTGGTGTGTGGTGTGAAAGCAGGATCTTAGCTGAATTTTCCAAGTGATATGCTTGGCATCATTAAATGAACAATTCTTCCCTCCTCAGGGCTGACCTCTGTGGCCATCAGAAACTTTGAGATAGCTCAGAAATTGATGGAGACATTGTAAGCAGATTCAAGTTAGATTAGTGTTCACTCTCTCCCAAGCCTGAGGCATGCTTCTGTGGTGGATGAAGGCTTCCTGATAGACTCCAGTAAGAGCTAATCACACCACGGTAGTGACATGGTGGGCTAGGAAGGTTAAGCAGGCAGCACCCAAGGGCAGCTCTTCTCTAGAAGAGCCTGGCAGCCCTAGGGAAAAGTCCATTGTAGGGGTGAGGTCACAGGCTGGGAGGTGAGTTTCTCCAGATGAGATTCATATATGATAGATTCTCCCTCAAGCTCTCACGTAAGCCCCGCTGTCTGCCAGTGCCTTGTGGTTTTGAAGCCCTTCTGTCTTGTGGTTTAGGGGGCAAAGAAACCTGGACAGGCGCTGGTGAAGGTGACCAAAAAAGACTGAACCCTCAGATACCTGCAGCTCCCCGTTACCCGCCTGCAGCTGTCAGCTAGCACACTTTCCAGAGTGTTCTTCCAGAGAGACCAGCCATGCAGGTTACAGTTTCTTTTCTTTTCTTTTCTTTTTCTTTTTTTTTTTTTTTTTCAGGATTTAACTCATTCTTCTAGCAAAGTGAAAATCCTACCTTTGGCCTCTGCAGCAGCCTTCCAACAGAGACATTTGGCAGTGTGACCTGAGGGCAGGGATGCCAGGAAAACCACACCTGAGGAGGCTCAGGCAGGTAGCTCAGGACAATTGTGACAAATTTGTGGAGATCCTGTCTAGTGTTGATATGGGAGTTCCTCTTTCCCAACTGTCTGCAGCTCCATCAGGATACAAAACATGGGATGCTGTGGGCAGAATGTGAAGCCCCCCGCCCCACCCCGGCACAGTCTCATGTATGTGTATATTTGGTCCCCAGCTGATGGTGCTGTTTTGGAATGTAAGACCTGGCTGACAGACATGGGCTAGACTCCTTTCCAACCATCAGCTCTGTTTCCTCATCCGTTAAAATGTGAGGAGCTCACCACGTGTTCCTCAGCTCTCCCACCTGGATGGGTTGAAGCTGAGGCAAACATTTCCCCTTCTTGTTTCTGTCAGGGATTTTGTCATATTGTTGAGAAAGGCAACTGGTACAGAGGCTCAACAGGACAGGGGCAGTCCCTCACATAGACTTGTCTTGGGCTAGAGGCACGGGAAGACTTTGGGGAGGGCCTGCAAGTGAACCCTCATTTTTGTGAGGCGGAAGCAGATGCCTACAAGTAGACACCAAAGGTCATGCCCGGCTGCCTAGTGAGCTTTCAACACCTTCTGACAAGAGCCCCTTCCCTAGGAAGCAGGCGCTCTAGGGGCCGAGACAGGGCACATCTACCCCTAGGTATCCAATAGGACAAGAGCGCTAGCAAAGAACCCTTTCCTGGAGGGTGTCCCCACACCCTGTCAGCATCACATGACACACACGTATGGTCGCATATGGCCTCATGGTGGGGCTTGGAGAAGCCTGCTGAGTTTCCCTCCTTTGGAGCTGGTTGATCATTAGACCCTGACCCCGCCTCAGTCTATAACATCAAGGACCACATCTGTCCTCTTTTGTGCCCTGATTCTAGCCTAACCCAGCACAGGAAATCCTGATATAAACATAATATTAACATGGGGATTTTGTCTCTTATAGCAATAATTTTTCTTTGTTAGACATGTGCTTTCTCTTCTTACTGTACATTTTCATATGTTCATTTTCATTTACTTTTTATGTGTGTTGGTGTTTGGCCTGCATGTATATCTGTGTGAGGGTGTCAGATCCACTGGAACTGGAGTTACAGACAGTTGGGAGCTGCTATGTGGGTGCTGGGAATTGAACTCGGGCTCTCTGGGAGAGCATCCAGTGATTTAACCACTGAGCCATCTCTCCAGCCCCACATTTTCATATTTTCTTTGTTGGCACTTCATCCTTCAAAGCTCAGCTTGGCTGTCACTTTAAGGAAACCCTCAACACATAGAACATGACATGCCAGACAGGTGGGTTTCTCTGTCCCATCCAGCAGCAGGAGTCTTTGCTTTGTAGAGAGCATCCCAGACAAACAGCCAAGAAAGACCCAAGACACAGAATACTCCAGTCCCAGGATGGCTGCATGAGCAGGGCAGGGGACCAGCTGGTGGGCAGGCTGGCTTATCCAAGCCATGGACATGAGCCCTGGGGAAATTAAGGTAAAAGGCATTGGGGCTGGAGGCCCAACCTCCCTGTCAATCAGAAGGTCCAGCATAGGGCCCGCCTCAGCTATCAGTCCTATGGCTGAACGTAGTGGAGGGGCCCCAATCCTAGACACCCAGGTTTGCTTTGGGGAAGTATGGTTACTGGAAATATAATTTGCTGACCACGATCTTTACTTAGGGCTCATTTGAAAAGGAACGTCTGTGGTTCTGGACACTGGCCCCTGGAGCCTCTATCAGAAACCCTGCTTGATCCTCGAGCAGGATCCAACAGGGAAGGCCTACGAGGGTGTGGGGTGGGGCTCAGACACCAAGAGGGAAGCCACCCTCAGAGCCAGGCCGCTAAAGAGGTCAGATGCCCTGCCAGCTGCACCTCCCCCACTCCAGCTGCCCCAGCACAGGAGGTGTCCTTGGCATTCCACCTGCTGCACCCAATGCTGAGGCCATCTGAGCGGAGTGAAGATGTCAGAGAAAACCCCAAATCGGATTGAGGCTTCTGCTCCCCCCTAATGAGGTTCATTATCAGCTGCTCTGATCCCTGTAAAACCCAGCAGGCTGGATTAGGGACAAAGTCTAATCCAGGCTGACTCCTCCTGGCTGAGCAGCCAACCCAGGCTGGCTGGACAAACAAACCTGTCAGTCCTGGAGGAAGAGCTGAAGGTGGCAGCTGCAGACAGGCTCCTCTGACACCCAGGCAGGTCTCAGGGAGGGGAGACAGCAGGAGGTGACCGGGCCATCACCAAGGCCTGGGGCACAGAGAGCGCTCTGTGGGGAGTGAGGCCAGAGCCTGCTCCTGTCCCCAGGAGCTTGGCTGCTGGATCTCAGGTGAGGCTGGATGCTGTGCATTTGCTATAGACCTGAACAGTGGGTGTCCAAGGACCAAGTCAAACACATGCATGACTTAACAAAAATAATTTTATTCCACACCCCTCCCAAGCAGTGGGGGAGAGTGAGATTAAGCACATATACCAGTCTCTTCCCACCTCTACCTGACTACAGTGGAAAACCCAAGGGGAAAACCCTCCCCTCACAGCTCTCCACCCAGCACCTACCACATCCAACAGTTAGCACTGATTTTAGAAGACGAAATAAAAGACAAGAGCCCCAGCCCAGAGAGAGGTCTATCCTCTTGCAGTTAGCACAGGACTATCTGGACCCCAGCATCACCCTTGCCCTGCCACCAAGCAAGCACCGCACCCCACAGCCCAGCCACTGTCATCCACCCAGACAGCCAAACCCCACCAACCTCACACTACACCCTTGAAGCAGAAACTCTAGTTTGAACCTGGGAGACCAGCGTCACTTCCTGAAGCTTCCAGACCCACTCCTATAGCCAAACCCCACCCAGGTCTGAGGTGCTGGAGCTGGATAGGCCAGAAGCAATGCTGCATTTTCTTCATGTTGGGAGGGAGGGAAGGAGACAGCCTCGGAATGCAGTGAGGAGGTCAACTCCAGCCCACCCAGCCCAGGATCCTCTCTTCTGGATGGAAACTCTGGCCTTGTCTACCTCAATTTAAGGCCAAGACCAAGCAGGAAACATTGAGACTTCAGCGGAAATGGGGCAGGACTTCACATATGCTGAAAAACAGGAATGTGGTGCTGAAGCCAGGGTCGGAGCCTCCCAGAACCCTGACCCCTGCTTTAAGCTGCCCCTACCCCATGCTGGCTAGGTGACACTGGGCCCCTGTTTCTGTCTTGACTATGGAACCCTTCACAGCAGACTCAAGGGGTTCACAGCAACTGGCTTTCTTGGACTTGCTACTCTTCTAAGCTAGAAAACGGAACACGGGTAGAGGGGAAGCCAGGGTGCCAGGGGGCCAAAAAAGCCATATGGATAGAAGTCCCATTTCCTGTCCTCTTCCTGGATGGTTCAGGCTATGGGGTAGCTAGATGGCCTTTCAGGGTCCTTATCCTGGCCCGGAAGTAGGTGTACATGGCTAGTAAGCTCATGAAGGACACAGAGTAGAGCCCCACACAGAGGCTAATGTCCAGGTGGGAAAACCCCCCGCCCAGAACCTGTAACCACGGGCCTTGACCCCGTATACTTGGGGCCTCTGGCTCCCCTTCAGGTATGCTGGCTAGCTGCTTGGGGCTGCGGCCCCCTCGCCTTAGCTCTAAAGGGCCTTGGAGGTGAATCACCTCAGGCAGTGGTAAGGCCTCAGTGTCAGTGTTGCGCAAGTGTTGCTGCCCCTGGGCATGCCCCTGTGTAAACCTCTGCCGCTCTTCCACATGCTCAGGAGGGCCCTGCCCTGGTGGAGCGCCACTCATTCTGAGGCCTGAGTATAGCACCTGGGGGCCACTTGCTTCAAGCTTCTCAACTGGAACATCTAGGGCAGTGGCTCCAGGGGACTCTGTAGAAGCAGCCTGCTCATGGCCCAGCACTGGATTTCTCATCTCCAGTTCTAATGCATCCATTACCAGCTCTGGGGTAGCTTCCAGATTCTGGGGACCCCTCTGGGTTGCAGGAGAGTCTATGATGATGTTTGCTGGGGAGAAGTGAGCCTTGAGAAACTTGAAGGTGGCATCTAGATCCCACACAGGCTCATGTCCATTGACTTCATTATGGCAGGCAAAGCACAGTTCACGAGGAGGCCACTGCACCTTGGGGAAGTGGGGGTCCTCACTCAGAGCACCTGGCGAGGGAAGCACACACAGTTTGGGTGTCACATCTGGTCTGCCTGGGAGCTCATGTTTCTTTTGTTCTGAATATCTGCTTTTTCATCTATAAAAAGGTTCACCAAGCCTTTAAAAGGATGGAAGATAAACTGCAGATACAAAACCAAAACAAGACTAGCATGTAGCTAGGCCTGGTGGTGCAGGTCTTTTTCCCTTCCACTCAGGGACTGCACGTTCGGGGCCAGTCTGGGCCTCTGCCTCAAAGAGAGGGGGGGGGAGAAAGGCAGAGGAGAATTTGGGGACATAGTTCAGTGAACCAGGCCCTAGGTTCACTCTCCAGTGCCATTCCAAGCTTGAACACCTCCCAGACCAATCTGCATAGTCCTGGCCCACAGGGTGACACAGCCACAGCATTTGGTGGCAGAGCTGAGGCGAGGATAAGGGGAAGAGGCCGGTCGGCCCCAGAGAAGGTGGACACATCTTTTTAAAAAGGCACTAGGAGGCTCCTGGAACCAAGTATAGGCCTGTAGCACCTGCTCCCTCCAGCTCCCGCCCCAGGAGGGCTGTCTGGGAGGTACTTCTTGCCCTCCAGATGCATAGTATCCAGTCTACAGAAGGCTTCCCCCACAGGCCCATGTGCAAGGGGAGGCAAACAACATAAATAAGGGTAACTAGAAAGACAAGCTCCCTGCCTCTCTTTAGCCCACTCTCTGATGACAATGGAAAACCCCTGCCTTCTCCTCCCTGTTAGTGTGAGTAAGAGGCTAATAGCCAGAAAGCAGAGCAGGGGAGGGGGGAGGCAGGGGAGATTCTAACAAGCTAGAGAGGGTCCTGGCTCAGCGGGGAGGAGCGCTGGCATCAAGCACCAGACTCATACAGCATCCTAGTCCATTCCCTGTTAGATAAGTAGAGGAAGCAGAGGCTGTCGCTGAAGAGATAGTGGGAATGCCACCTCCAGCCTTGGGAGTGACCCTTCCGTACCTGAGAGGCGAGCGTTAACCTTGTTGTGACTAGTCCAGAGCCAGAGAACTGCACTGCTGGGACTTTTCACCCGGTGCATGGAGGCAGCAGCCATCTGCTCAAAATGGTTAGCACAGTCTCGGCAACCAAAGAAGAACCGAACATAGTTCCGCATGGCTTGGAGGACTTCCTGGCCATTAGCTGTAGGGAAGAGACCCCACACAAAGGCCCTTCATGTTGCCAACCTCTGCTATCTCCGTCATGGTTCCCCACAGGCTGCCCCATCCTCCTCCGCTCTGCTGGGGTGATCCTGCACAAGCCCTCACATTCCAGCCTATGTAAAGAGGCCTAATGCTCAACCCTAATGCTTGCTTCTCCTCTGCAAGGGTCACTAGAGAGGTGGTCCCATTTCCTCCAAAGCTCCTAAACTTCTGTCCCTCCTCTCAGGTCCTCGACATCACATTCTTCAGAGAGACACTGGGGCTTCATGTGACATGATGGAGTGTTGAAGGGGACATTCTAGCCCCCATGATCCTCCTCGACCTACCAGCTTCAGGCTTCCCATTCAACTTGCTCTCCAGTGGGCACTCTTAGAAGTCCACCCTGAGCTGGTCTGGATAGCTTCTAATTTCTCTTCATGGCCCCCGAGTATTTTCTCTCTGATCCCCCATACAGGCTGCCATAGCAAGGGTCTCTCTTGACTCTCATACTTTTTCTCTAACTGAAACCAGACTCTCCTGAAGGTATACTCCACCCTTGCACTTTCTGTATCTTTTTTTTTCTTCCATACTTCATATACCTCAGGGTTTGCTTCCTGATGCTTCTAAATGTTCCCTCCAACCCTTTAGAAGGCAACCTCCTACCTCCATCCACCAGGACATCACAGGGAGCGCTCACACACTCACACACACACACACTCTCTCTCTCTGCTTCAACGCACCAGTGCCTGTACCACTGTGCCTTTACCTCCTTGGCCTCCAAAGCTCCATCCCTTTTATACTGACTCCAGGTATAACTGCCCCCCACACTGCAGCTGGCCTTGCCACTCTGCCTCCCCTTTCTTGACAGCTCCATAATTGTATTCCTGCAAGCCTGCCCACCTACCCTGCCTGCCTCATCAATCAGTTGCCCCCAATACAGGATCATTCCAAATGATTCCCCACTGAGGACAAAATAAATAGGATGACCTGAGACACAGTAGGTAAGCAGACCCCGGACTCACCTGGCTCTTGTGGGTGGCTTTCACTATGCCGACTTGCCTGCACAGTCAGGAAGTGGAAGAGGACCCACAGGGAGCAGGGAAAGCCCCGGAAGTGTGGCTCACTGCCCTGGCAGCCAACCCAGTTCACCTTCTCAGTAAGAACAGAGTCCTGAGGAATACATGTGAACATGAGCACACAACAGAGAAGAGAAAGGGTTGGAAGGGAGGTGTCAAGAGAAGCTTCCAGGAGCACATAGCACTGTAGCAGAAGAGGGCCTCTTCCTGGCCTATCAAGTTTCTGCCATCTCTACCCACCAAAAGATTAGCAGATCTGAGAAGCCATGGCATAGACCAACTTCTACCTTTGAAACTGTAGTGCTGATCTGATCACTGAGGTCCTGCAAGCCTTGACACCTTATAAATCCACATGGTTGTGCATGACTATGGGGTGTGGCTTGCTTTTGCAGACAGCAGAAAGAATAGGTACCCTGCTCCTGCTGTGGGGCATGCTGAGGAAGCTGCTTGGATGCAGACAAGAGGTATGGTTAAGAACTCTGGTGTCTTAAATGTGACTCATCTCTATAAACTTCACATTTGGGAAGCAGATGCAGGAGGATTGCTGTGAGTTTGATACAGAGTAAGACCCTGTTTTTAAAATAGGGCTCCACTGTCCCATGCCCTAATCACTTACAGATACAATGGGTAGAAAAGCTTAGAAAAGTAACATACCAGTTCAAACCTGGTTTCTTCTTCTGCTAGATGGAAATTCTAAGGTATGAAGAGTCAATGAGATATTCTCCAGACCCCAATGAAGAGCAGTGCAATAGTGATAAATGGAATGATTTCATGCAAACTGCTGAATAATGCTGTCAGAAATCTCAGCCTAAAATCCCTCCAGTCCCATGAATGCCAGGCCACTGGGAAGATCTTTACTTGCCTTCCAGACTCACCTCCTTCCTGTTGTCCAGAGCGGCTCTGAAGAAACTGTAGGGGATCTTCTTTCTCGGCTGCCTGTGAAGCCAGTCATTTATGGAGTGCAGGAAGTTCTGGACCAAAGGCTGACCAGGGAAGTACTGCAGGTGGGGACAAGTGGCAACTGGAGAGTAAAAAACAATTCTACAAGTGGATTCCTACAGCCTATTCTGGGTAGACGGGAGGCGACTCCTCTGAGTCTTCCAGGACCTGTGGGTCTCCGCCAAGGCTCGAGCTATAATGTTGACCTAACATGCAACCACTCTGAGGAATGTCCAAGCATCACACCACTTTCTGGGACTGCTGTGAGCACCAGGCATGCACACCTTCTTTCCAGGTGGTTCTCTGATGGAGCAACAGATTGCCTAGCTGGGCTCAGGTGCAGTGGGCAAGGGGTTTACATGGGGTAATAATAGAGAAGAACTACAGCTGCATCCTGGAGGGTGTTTTCTGCTGCTCAGAACACCCCCATTTACAGCCCAACACTCTTGGAGCAGCAGTTGGGCGCCTCAGAAATTGGGATCTCAGGGCACTCTGCCCATGCCCACCCATGCCCAACAATAAACATCCTGATAAGCATGGAAGGAAAAGCTGCAGGGACAGCTTGAACCATTCTCAGTAGTGAGATGAAAGGAGGGTAAACCCAAGGGAAGGGACTTTACAATGGCATCACAAGAGGGATAAAAGACCATTAAAAAGTCTTCCAAATCCCTAACGTAGGACCCAGTGGGCTTCTACCCGCCTCCCTGTGGACACCCACTCCAAGTTGCCTAGAGTGTACTCTCATCTTCGCTTTTGCTAAGTAAACTGTCAGGGTTTCTTGGCTCAGTTCTTTCTTTTGAAAAGACAAGAACCAAACCCAGGAGAAACCTTCATTAGTAATAGGCTGGCAAAAGCCCTTTTGTTTTTAGCCCATGGGCCGCCAATGCGGATAGGCCAGTTCAGGGCTTAGGGCCAAGATCCAAATCTTGATGGTAACTCCCAAGAGCCTCAGAGGAACATGAAAAGCTACTCTGACAATAAGTCAACTCAAATCTGATTAGTATCAGCACTTTAAAACCACAAGGACTCAAGGGAGGAGGGCATGTGTGCATGTGTGCATATGTGTGCATGTACAAATGCACATGGGGGTGGGGTCAGCAGTGGAGCAGGGCCGGAAAGACCGCAGAGAGGGACGAGGTGAGACAATGGTCCTGAGAGATGTGGCCAAAACCATCTGAGAGAAGAATCCTGGACTCAAGAATGGTACCAGAAAAATCTGCTACCACAGCCAGTCCTCTGAGAAGACATTAAATGTCCTTATCAAACCTCAGGCTGGCCATCCCCCAGAGTGAAACATGGCTGGGAAGACTTGTGCTTCAGAATGCTTCCTCTTGGTTAGCTCCTGGGAGCTCTGGGCCCACACACTGATTTACAGCTCAGAGTCAGCATTTCTCAGGGACCTCTGCCTTGGCACCTTCCTTCCGCTGTCTGAGGCCATGCATCAGCAGGAAGCATGAATAAAAGGGCTCTGGGCAGCAGATAGCAGGGAAACCTTGGTGACCATATGCCACCCAGTGGCCAGCCTTGATAGCTGCCCACACGTGACAAGGCAGGCTGATGGAGGAGCCCTCTTCATTTCAGGCTGTCCCTTGAGTGCTGAGTTGTGAAACACCAGAGTGGAGGCCACAGGAGAAATGAGTGTGACTTTCTCCTTGGACAAGGTGTCGTCCCATGCCCCATGCCCCTGGGCCATCATTCCCTCGTCTAGAAAATGATGGGTATGACCCACAGAGTTGAAGAAGGGGAGATAAGCAAGTACCACAGCACTGCACCTCCAGCCTGCCCGAGCTCAAGGGAAGGGAGCAGCTTTGATTAGCATTCCTCTCCCAGGGAAGTAGGGCAGGCAAAGGTCGAACAGGGCCTCTCCAGTGTCCCAGGTCACCCTGCTCCCACTGTGGGACATTCACGAAGCTGGCTTCCCTCAGTCCTCTGTTTCAATGCCATCCCCTCTTCCCTGAGAGGCCTGGCTTCGGGCTGAATGGCCTTTCCTCCCATACTTATCTCCTGTCCCACTGGGAGTGTGCTGTTCAGGCCTCTTCCTAACCTGGGTATTTTCTGTGTCTCCTCTCAAATCAGCTTCACGCAGTGCAAACTAAATACCAGATTACTTGCAGCTGCAAACAGATACAAACAACAGGAGAAATCACTGCTTGGGAGGACTCCTTTGGAGTAGGCTGACCTGGGCTGGGGTGTCCCTCTCATTAGGGTCTGGAGGGGTGGGGGAGCACATAGGCCCTTTCCCTCACTGCAATGGTAGAAGAACAGTATCAATGCTATGGATTTGTTCCCTCTGCTCAACAGGGTGTCTGCCTTAGGACTGTGGAAGCAAGTCTTCTCTATCATGGAAATGGCTCCACCTTGCCTGCCACATTCCTCACAGAGTCTCCTGTGTACAGATACATGGGCCACCAAGCCAAGAAGGTCAGGATGGCAGCCGAATGGGTGAGACAGGGAGAGATCAGGAGGTTCCCACAGACCTTCTGGGAAGGACAGGCTCGGATCAGCTGGGACTGAGGGAGGCTGAGTCAGCAAGCAGACCCAGAGGACAGGTAGTCCTGACTCAGCAGCAAAGCAGGGCAGGCTGGCTGTGGATGGGAGGCCAGAGTCAGGAGGAAAGGGAAATGCAGTTCTGTGTGGCAAAGCCTCAGATCTTGGGTCTGGTCCTGCTGGCAATTCTAGGGCAATTACTTAAGTTCCTGGGCCCTTAAATGGCAGGGGTATCACTTTGCAAAGCAGGTGAGGAGGCTAAATGCTTGTCAGACATCAGGTCTTTGACAACCAGGAGCTTCACTCCGAGGAGCAGCCACTGAGAAGTTGGGAGCACAGTGCAGGGTTAACACTAGGGATCTGGGTTAGACTGAGAAGAAAGCAGTGCAGAGAGGGCCCTTCTTCAGTCTGGTGGCCCAGAGTGCCATTTCCACAGTCACCATGGCAGGGAGTGACAAGCCACAGTTTGGAGCCTAAGTGAGGTGGAGAAGTCAGGTAAGCAGGCAGAGTAAGTCACTGGGTGGCTGGGCATATTCCCAGGTATTGGGATATCTGGTCCTGTGTCTCTTTCCTCTCTACTCCACAGGGTGAGATGCTCTCTGGAGCTAATATAGAATATGGCTGTGAGAGGAGGGTAGCAGCCTATGGGGGACCTGGACAGCAATGGGTCCAGGTGTCCAGTCAGACCTGAATTCAAGGAAGGGACTGGTATAGTGTATGGTTTCTGGATACACACACTACCTACCTATGGAATGACAGAGGCAAAGGAAGTTGGGACCCTGCTCACCTTGGCCAATACTGCCACAAACTTTTTCAGGGCCAGTAGACGTGGTCCCTCCAGAACTGAGAACTTTCCCACTTCTACGCGCAAGATGTAATGCAGTGAGGATTCCAGGTCAGCCATGTAGATCTTGGAGCTGAGGGTCAAGAAGAAGCAGAAAGAGAAGGGTGTTAACCTCACAGCAAGCACTCAAAGGGATGAAGAGGGGGCATTATTGATGTCACAGAAATTCGTAGCACTTGGCTCTGGCAGCAATTTGCCCAGTGCCTTGGACAAATAACTTTTCTAGGTATCAATCCCTCATCTGTATAACAGATAACAACACATCTCTCACAGGTAGGCTGCTAAGACGATGATGAACTGAAACAGATGTAAACCAGCTTGGTGTAGGTGGGTAGGCCCTTTTCTCCAGGTCCAGAGTCAGGCCCTTCTGTAACTCACTAACCAGGTTCATTCTGTTTTGAGCAAAGACACTTAGGGGCCGACAAACAGACTGAAAGTGCCTTGGAAAAGCTAGGCTCTCTAGGAAAGGGGCTGGGGTGGCAGAGAGATGGAAGAAGAAAGGCCTTTTCTGGTTCGTCCAGGGTTCATATGCATGAATATCTAGACCTATGTGTTATACCACTCCAGCCCATTGTGCCATCCCATGTCCACCATGCTCCCATGGGTCAGCTCAGGTATTGTGGGAACACCACTGAACATTGGCTACTTCTCAACCTCAGCCTGACAGCTAGTTCTGGCCTCAGCAGGAAGGTGAGCTAGCTTTATGGGTTTAGGCCATTCCTAGTCCCTGGGCTACTGCACTTATAAAATTAAGTAACTGCTCTGCCTCTTGAAGGGAGAGAGCCAACAAGGCCAGCTGCCAAGATGAGCAGTGACTACTTACACCTCACTCTGAGGCAAAATCTCCATTGTGGTGTCATCTGGCCTCAGTTTACCTTACCATTCTGACATTCTGCGTCCAGAAGTAACCTCATTGGTCTGAAGAGATAGCTTGGCAGTTAAGAGACTGTACTGCTCTTCAGAGGAACCTAGTTCAATTCCTAGCACCCACGCCAGGCAGTTCATAACCTCCTGAAATTCCAGCTCCAAGGGATCTGAATACCTCTTCTGTCCATGACACACACACATATGTATAAATAATAAAATAAAATATTAAAAAGTGGCCTGATGGTAGAATGGGATGATGTGGAAAGGTGGTAAGCACACAGCTTGGCACAGCTATTATAGTAATTTGAATAATCTGAATGATAAAAATGACCCCTGACACCTTTGAGTGAAGGTGTGTGTGTGGTGTACACATGAGTGCATGTGTGTGCATGCAGGAGTGGCCATACGTGGAGACCAGAGGCTGGCACTGGGATGTCTTCCTCACTTGCTTCTCCACTTTATTTTTTGAGACACGGAGCCAGCACTCAACTTGGAGCTCACCTTTTTAGGCAGACTGGCTGGCTGTGGAGCCTGATTTCTGTCTGTCTGCACACCTCAGTGCTGGGACGACAGTGTGCCACTACATCCGGCTTTCCGTGGTGCTAGTGATTTGAACTCAAGGCTCATCTCTGCACAAGTACTTTATTCACGGAGCCATCTCCCAGGTGCTCAGTGGTCAGTCACTTCCTAAGTCTCTTTCCTTATCACTTTATTTAGTAAAACTCTCTCCAATGTATTTCCACCCTTAGAGTCTGCCATTCGAGGACGTGAGACCCTTCCTGCACCTTTCTTCCAGTTCTCTGTGCATCCCTCACTTACAGAGTATTTTTCTGGGCTAGCAATAAGCTGCCTGGTCAGACATCCTTGCTTAGTATTGTAGCTGGATACTAAGGCAAGAGGTCTCTGTCTCCATGCATAGCATCGGGGAATGTACTATAAAAGCAAAGCCCAGGAGTCTCATAGAACCAGCAGTTCTGTCACACTTAAAACTATGCACAGCTGGGTGTTGGTGGTGCACGCCTTTAATCCCAGCCTTCAGGAGTCAGAGGCAGGCAGATCTCTGTGAGTTTGAGGCCAGCCTGGTCTATGAAGCGAGTTCTAAGGCAAGCTCCAAAGCTACACAGAGAAACCCTGTCTTGAAACAAAAAACAAAAACAAAAAAACTATGCATAGACAAGAAGTACCTGAAAAAGTTGTGGACTCCCTAATACTTGCAACATTCAGATGAAGTTAGGTGACTTCCTAGAAGGGATGCTTTGAAGGGGACTGCAAAGTCTACGAGAAGGGACCACATCAGTCCTATAGCATCAGCAAGGCAACCATCAAGGCTTCTGTAGTGACTGCCTGTGTTACTCTCATGCAAAAGTGTTGAGCTTTATTCTGCTCTATTCAAAAATCGCTTAGGGGCAGAAAAACACACACACATCACAGTGCACAGTGCACACACACATCAGTCTAAAACAGCTAGCTCTCTGCAAGACCGAAAAGCTAAGGATTTGGCTACTCACGGAGTCTGGAGAACTGGGATAGCAGAAGGGCATGGGGACAGCATAGGCAGCAGTTTTTCTCTTTCAGAGCTTTCAGGTCTCATACCCCACCAGAACCCACAGTGCCTAGCACATGCGTGGCCCCGAGGAAAAACTGCTCAGGACAGAAGTCAGTGTAGAAGCCCTAGTAATCCTCCACACTGATTCGACTCTCACTTCTTCCCCACCCTCTCTCCCTCCCTTTTCCTCATTCTCTCTCTCAACAGTAGCCGAGGCCAGCCTGGGATTCACAGTCCTGCTGTTGTGGCCTCCTAGGTACTGGCATTACTGGTGTACAGCCCCATGCCTGACTTCTACCTGTTTTTGAGTGAAGTTAAGCTTATACAATGTGGGCAATAGACAGCATTCCTTCAGTTACGAAGGACAATATGCAATGCTGTTTGGCAAACCCACATTTGGCACTGAGGCCTTGGCACAAAGACAGGAAAGGCCACAGAAAGATTCCTGAGCTTGGTCAGCAGTCAGGGACCCCCAAAGGTCTAGTATAGAGCAGGGTGTTACTCAACTATGGATGTAGTTCAATGGTAGAATTTCTATCTAGCATGTTCAAGTCCTGGGCTGGGTTCCCAGCATCACAAAGACAAACAAAACAAAACCCAAGGCCAGCCATGAAGGGACAGATGTAGGCTATCCACATGACAGGAACAGGAATGAGTAAGGCAGCACTCGTGAAGGGGGTGTGGCCTGTGACCAGAGAAGAGGTAGGAGTAGGGATGTGAGAACCCTTTGCCCTTACTGGTCTGCAATCTTCCACACTGTGGGTGCTACATCAGCAGTGACTGGTGCAGCTGTGGTTGGGGGAGTCTGCCTGGTTGCTCCAGACAGTCCCCGCAGGTAGGATGTATAGAAAGGCCTGGACTCCGTCAGCCTGGGAAGAAAGCAAAGGGAAACAGTAAGTACAATGGAAAAAATCACATAGCTGATAGCTGGCCAATGTCAGGAGAGTAAATAGTGTCTCCTCCAACAGAAGGGCTTGGCAAGAAATATCTAAACTTGTTCCCAGCTTAGGCCTCACTTTAACTTGTCCATTCACTGTACGTGTTACAGAAACCCTCTTTTATATCAACCAGATACTGAACCCCTATCTGAAAAAGCAAATGGGCCTGAGTATTACTCAACATGCCACTTGGCTCCAGTCAAAGCCATGATCTTTGGAGTCAGGTGGGCTTCACTGGGAACAGCATCCATTTTTGCTATAGAGAACTGGGAATACAGTACAATAGGAGAGCTTCTACCTAGTTTGTGCAAGTTCTAAGCTGGGTCCCCAGCACCACAGAGACAAAAAACTACCAACATTTGCCCATGACAGAAATGGCTGGGTTTGACTGTCTTCCCTACAGACTAAAAGATGACTGGTCTTAAGGCAGTCACCCTCTTACAAGCTTGTTCTAAGACATCACTAGGTAGCATTGCTCCCCAAGGAAGTCAGAGTTTGATGTATAATTTTAAAATATCAATAACAGAGAACCAAGTTTGTCTAAATCCTCCTGATTTCTCTCTCCTAATACAGGAGTCTTGAGGCCAGGAAATATCTCCTTAAAGAGGTCTGGCCAAGGTAAGCATCAGTTGTAGGATGTCCCATGAGAGCCAGCATCAGGAAGCATGGCTTCCCTACTATGCCATCCCAGCTCAATGTCTATCAATGAGCAGATGGTTCAGCAGCAGCATCGTCACAAACAATTTTCTCCTCCACTAACTCCAAGTGAGGAAACAATAGCTCTTCTGGCCTCTAGGACTGGCACTTTCTAGGCCCACCCAGAATCTAACCTAACATTCCCCTTGTGAACATCATGCTTCCTGACTCTGAGAGAGAGTCCTGCCTCGGAGGCACTGGTGATCCAGGCTAGGGCAAGAGGCTGCCTAGCTCAGCCTCAGTGTAGGGTGGTACTAATGGCCCCAAGAAGCAGATTTCTGGGTGTCTAGGGTAGCCTTGGGCTCCCTGGACCCCTGAATTTCTGCCTGCAAGGCCAGGCTGACATCAATCATCTGCCTACAGCGGGCACCAAGGCACCATCTGGTGCCATTTAACAGGCCATTCAGCAGCAGGAGTCTGACAGAGCAGCTGAGGCTGGCTTGATTGTTTTCTCTTGACATTTTGGAACAGGCTATTGTCTGGCTGCTAATGAACTTTTCTGCAATTAGAAAAGGAAAGGGAGGGAAGGTCCAGCATGTCTGAGTCCTTGCCAGGCCTGCACCCTGTCAGTGAACTCCTCTATGGACAGAGGGGATGGATGACATGACCAGGGCGTGGTGTGGATGTATAAGAAACACTCAGGGCCAAGGCAGAAACCCTGAGCTGCAAGGTTGGAGATCTTGTCTCACATCGAGGATCAGACAACTGATTCTACTTGTCTGTTCTTCCTAGTGACCTCTCTAGGCAAGAAGAATGAATAGACAGGGAGGGGAAATAAGGGGATATGACACTTACACAGGCACTCGGACGATAGAGCCATTCTGAAACAGCAGATAGCATGATGGAAATTCAGTGACACCAAACTTGCTCACCACGTCACTCTCTGTATTCAAGACCCTGCGCACTGGTACATGGCGCTGGGACAGGTCCAGAGTTACCTGCAGAGACAGCAGGATGTGGTGGTCTTACCCAGTGGGTAGAGAGAGCCTGAGTACTGGCCTGCAGCTTGGTAGGTATTAGGTAGCAGCTGTATTCTATCTAGAATTGAAACTTTGCAGAGCAGACTACTGTGATAAATTTCATATAACCCTCAGGGCAGGACTACCAAATACCATCCATGACAAGGGCCTTGGAACTGTGCAGATGTCCTATGGTAGTACCAACCGAATATGGTAAAATGTGGTTTTATTTTCTTCTTATATGTATGAAGCTTTATATCTATATCCTAGGTCAGAAAAACACATATTGGTCAGATACAATCATTTTGTTTTTAGGGAGAAATAATGGAAAATAATATTTCCTGTTATGCACTATATTATGTATTAGGATGCCACATTTAATCTTCAGAATAAAACTAGGCCAGCAGCCCTAGTCAGGCCTTCACACCACAGCTGTGGCAGGTGAGTCCTGATGTCACAGGAACAACCTTTCCTTGACTCAACTTCCTTACCTACAAAATGATAATGATGACAGCAGTAACAAACATAAATCTTAGAGGACTGTTAAGAAGACTGCACTGATAAAATTTATTAAAAATGCTTGTAATAGTGGCCAGTACATGATAGACACACATTATTTACTTAAAAATATGATTTTGGCTGGGTAGATGGATCCATAGATAAGGTGTTTTCACACAAACATGAGGGTTGGATTTCAGATGCCCAGAATTCATGTAAAAGCTGGGATAGGAGCATGCATCTGTAATCCCAGCATGCCTATGGTGAAATGGGAGGCAGAGACAGGGAAAGCCCTAGAAGCTCACAGGTCAGCATAGGCAATAGTGGACAAGAGATCCTGCCTCAGATAAGGTAGAAGTTAAAGATTGACATCTGAGGTTGTCTTCTAACTGCCACATGTGCATCGTGGCATGCTGGTGCCTGTGTGAACACACACACAAACACACTACATATTTACAGGGAAAAAAATTCACCTGGGTATGGTGGAGCACACCTATAACATCTCAGAACTTAGGAAGTGGAGGTGAGGGAGTCATGAGTTCAAGGTCCGTGGTGGTACCAGTTGGTACCAGGGAGCACGGTACTGCTATGACAGACTGACCATGCTGCTTGTTGCAGAATGGGACTTTGGATTAGCAAAGCAGCTGAACACTTTAAGCTGGGCTGAATGGGCCACACTTGTAGGAATGTAGAAGACAGTGGTGCTAAAAGCAATGTAGATTATGATGGCTCAACATGAGAGGTTTCAGAGGAGAATATTAGTAAATGTCCTAGAAACTGTTCTTGTGATATTTTGGCAAAGAATCTACCTAAGGCTAAAGAAGAGTTTTGCATTAATGATGTTGGCAGAGGAGACTTCAAGACACTCTAGTATTGACCCTGATATGTGGTTATTAAGGGTCACTCTTAGCAGATCTATAATGAAAAGGAACAATCTGGGCAAGGAAAAAATAGAAAATGTACAGTTTGAAGAGAAAAGGAGCACCAGGATATGCAGTGGAATTAAGTCCAGTGCTCAAGGAAAACAAACGTTTAAAGAAAAGCCTGATGCTGCTTTCGTTCCCTCTGTTTTGTATGGCCAGTGGCTACTGAGTGCTGCTCCATCTGAACGGGCCTAGATTGTAGCAAAACAGGATTAGTTTCCTGCAGGAGAGAGAACTGACCAAAGCCATGGTCTCCCTTTTTGGTGCCTGGGATCTAATATCCCTGTTGGCAGTGTGTCTTCTCCAGGTCTATCCATTATGGCCTCTGCTACAGAAATAGAAACGAGGAGGAATGAAAAAAACAGAGGCCTAAGGAGAATTTTGATTGTTATTGTTCTGTTGGCTTAATTTGTGGTTTAATATTTGGGTACAGTTGTATTTGGGACAAAACCAGAACTTGAGATAGTTTGTGAGTACTTTATCATTATTAAATATAAATAAAACTAATATGAGTCTATGACGAGTTTCACTTAAATACATTATATTAAGGACCAATAGGAATATTAAAGAGCTATGAATAATTTAAACAAAAAGTCTCATGCTAAATGGAATAAAGGGAGTTGTGGCCTCATGGCAAAGCTCCACCCAGTTAAGCTTCCAACCTTTGAAAAGGTTCCAACTAAATAAAAGCTTTAGCAGTAAAGGAAACCATGGAAAACAGAAAGCTGGTGAAATGTGTTTGAATGAGGGGATTGAGTTCCAGCCCCAGCAAGCAGCAGAACTTGTCAGCTTCAGCTCCATGGTTCTGGTTTTAGAATTAAGGACATAAGAAATGGGTTGTATGGAATCTCCCTCTACAACTAAGGAAAGCCTCTGAGATCGGGTGTGTCAGGGAAGTCCCTATATGGTGGCACAGAGGGATCATTTCTTGAAGCTGTGAAGGTGAAGCCTGGATTGCCTTCAAGAGACCCCAAGATGTCAGAGATGCCAAGAGTCATGTGATACCTGCCAAGGAGAGCTGCTAACAGGGAGTGGAACCAGCCTGAGAGAGAGAAGTGTGTTTCAGTCAACACAGGTAAAACGGGTTAGAGATCTGAAGAGCACTTTGATATCAGACATGGAGATGCAGAGTTTGCCCTGATGGTTTTCAGTCTTGCTTTGGTCCTGTATTTCCTCATTATGATCCTTTTCCTCTCTTTTGGAATTGTAATATATATTGTATGTGCCATTGTATGTTGGAAGTATATAAACTGATTTTTTTTTTAATTTTGATTTTACAGAGGGTTACAGTTAAGAGATAGCCATGAGTCTCAGAAGAGACTTTGAACTTTGGACATTTAAACAGTGTTGAGACTATTAGAGACCATGAGGACTTATGAAGCTAGATTGAATGCATTTTTGCATTATGATATGGTTACAAGCCCATGGGGGCCAGGGTATAGAGTAGAATGTGGTGGTCTGAATAAGAATGGCCCCCATAGGTTCATATATTTAAATGCTTAAGGAGTGACGCTGAAAGGATGAGGAGGCGTGGCCTTGTTAGAGTAGGTGTGGTCTTACTGGAAGAAATGTGTCATTAGGGATGGGATTTGAGGTTTCAAAAGTCCAAGCCATGCCCAGTGGTTCTCTCTTCCTGATGCCTGTGGATCAGGACATAGAATTCTTTGTTATGCCTCTACCACCATGACTGTCTGTATGCAGCCATGACTCTGCTATGACGACAATGGACTAACCCTCTGAACTGTTAGCCAGCCCCAATTAAATGCTTTCTTTTGTAAGAGTTGCTGTGGTCATGGTGGGTGTCTCTTCACAGCAATAGAACACTGACGAAGACAAGGTCAGTCTCAGTTACCTAGTGAGCCATACGCCTGCCTGAATTATGTGGAACTCTATCTCAACAAAACCAAATCAAACCAAATGCTATTCTGTAAACAGAATAGACAGTAATGGGAAACAGAGTCTTATTTTGTAGTGGAGGAACCATGGTGTAGAACTGAGTCAAGTTTTGCGAGGTGAAGGAAGAATTGACTCTAATCAGCATTTGTCAGTCATCTGCATTTGACAGGCCTAACCAAGACACAGATAAGGAGCACAGAGGGTTGGGCACTCTAAGAAGGCTGCAGGCAGTCTCCCTAACTGCATTCTAAGAGGCTGAAAGGTCCTAGAGATCACCAATGAGGAAACCTGTCCTGGGCCCACAGCAGTGTCTAAGTTCCCTTCCTTGGGTCTCTTCTCCCAGCATGGCCTTGGAACATGTAACAAGCATAGGCACACCCACCTTGCACTGAGAAAGGCCCCCAAGTTACCTGTGGCAAGCCCGTGAGCCAGCAGCACAGTGAGTGCTCTTTACAGCAGGCAAACAGGCAGATCTTTATAAAGTACTTGCTGCCTGCTGGCCATGGGTCCAAGCTCTTACCTACACTGCCTTAGTGAGCTTTCCGATGTAAACAGTATGAGTAAACATTCAACATCTAGGAAATAAAGCTCAGAAAAGTTTGGCAACTTGACCAAAGAAATTCCTTGAACTGATGGAGAAGTGCAGCCTGCTCTGCTAGTCAAGGATCCGGTTCCCTCATGAGGGACTAGGTTATTTCTCATGTGTCTGCTTCCCTCATTTCCCCCCTTTTCTTTTAAAACCCAACTCTATGCACCTAGGGCAGTGAAGAAACAACACAGGTTTCAGGTCACGCTGCTCTCTTCCACATTACTAGCTGTGTGATCCTAGACATTTTATCCCATTGTCCATTTGTCCCATTTATCCCAAGTTTAGGGATACATGTTGTTTGTTTTAGTTTTTTGAGACATGGTTTCTCTGTGTGGCTTTGGAGCCTGTCCTGGAACTCACTCTGTAGATCAGGCTGTCCTTGAACAGAGATCTACCTGCCTCTGCCTCCTGAATGCTGGGATTAAAAGTGTACGCTACCACCACCCAGGCAGACACTAACCTTTTAAAGCAGAAAGGTATCTCTACACTTCCCATATGCTCACCAGGGGTCAGGCAGTGCCTAGCTGGTAAATGTACAAGGACCAGCATCTGCTTTGGTCTGAACTGGTCAGCACTCTCCCCACAGCCTCTTCTGAGATGCAGGGAAGCTGGGGCAGCTCACCTCTCTACCCACATAGGAGTCTTTGTTTTCAAAGATCAGGGCCAGGTACTCTGCATTATTTTTTGCAAAGAATTCGTTGATCTCCTTCAGCCTGCAAAGAGATAAGTGGGGTCATTCTCTCCATAGCCCGTGGTAAGACTCCCAGGGTTGAAGCAGCACATCTGATGGAGTGTGTTTCCCCATAACCCTGCGCCTCCCTCTGCCAGCCCACCAAGGCAAGGACACCAAACCCTTATACCTCAGAGGATGCCACTCATGCTATCTAACTCTTCTCATTTGGCCCACCTTGGGTTTAATTGTTTTATATTTTTTCATTCTGTCCCTTTTAGGAGTCAGGAGTAAACAGGAGGCAGGCTGGGGAGAAGTGGTGAGGATACTGTCAGACCAGCTACTTCCATGTTTTGGGTAAGGCCTAGGCTTACTGAAGATGGTTTTACTGGTTCCCTAAGAGACTGGTGATTAAGACCCATTAAACACAAGCCCAGTCCAAGGCAAGTCATGACGAGAGGGTGTGGAGCGTGAAGATTTCCTCTTGCAACAAGGGAAGCAGTGAACTAGAGTTGTGGGCCAGGAGGGTGTGGAAGCCAATGACTCCAACCTTTTCAGCTCAAGGTGAGGAGAGGGAGGTCCAGTCCCCTTAGGCAGAAATGATCAACAAGGAAAATTCTGTCTCTCAACCAAAACTCATGTGACAACTCAAAGAAAATGATGTCTCTTCATTCCGTTAAAAAGAGAGCCCCCTGCATATGTGTAAGAAGAGGACAAGTGACAAGGCGCATGGGTAAGAGAAAGCACCTTCCTTTTATTCTCAACCCGGTCTCACTTCCCTGTACCTAACCCAGAGACATGCAGCAAATGCCTCCAAACACAAAGGGTGACATTAACTCAATGCTACAACCCAACCTGGTGGCATATGAATGGATAAGCCAGAGAGGTGGGGATTAGGGTAAACCTTTGGTGGATAAAAGCAGTTCTGTAGATAACATCAGCCTCTGGGTGGCATTAGGTGGCCAGTCTCTCTGACCACATCCTCATACCTACCCTAGACTGGCAGAGGAGCAAGTCCTCAGCCTTCTGGAAGGGGCAGTTCAAGTTTCATCACGTGTATCTGCCTATATTCTTCCTAAGGGGCATCAAAAGGATCACTTTGAGACAGGTTGAAGGATTTGGCCAGTTTGTGGCTTTTAAGGTTCCCAGGGCAGAAAATGCACTATAAAGGGTGTGTGTGTGTGTGTGTGTGTGTGCGCGTGTGTGTGTGTGCGTGTGTGTGTGTGTGTGTGTGTGTGTGTAAGAGATTGGGACAGTGACATATCCATGAGGAAATGAAAGGAAAAAAGGACTGGGGTATAGTTTAATGTACATTTTTCTAGAACGATGATATTATGGCTTGGATATGAAATGTCCCCACAAAAGTTTTGTGCATTGAAGGCTCAGTCCCCTGCCGGTGGGTCCAATCACTGAGAGATGATTGGTTCTTGAGGGTTCTGACGTAATCACCGTCATATGGATTCAGAATTTGATGGTAGAATCGGGAGGGGATGGAAACTTTCAGAGTGGGACCTAGTTGGGATAAGTACACACTGTGTACATGGACTTGGAGGATATATTGTCCTCAACTCCTCTTTGTCTTTTTCTCTTGCTGCTTCTTGGGTGTCATGAGGTGAGCAGCCTCTGCCAAATGCTCTGACTGCCATGATGCTCTGTTTTATCTCAGACCCCAAACAACAGGTCCTGCCACATGTGAACCAAAACTTCTGAAATAATGAGTCAAAAAAAAATCCTTCTTTCTTTTAAATTGTTTCTCGGGTATTTGTAACAGCAAGGAAAGGGACCAACAATTACCAAAGATGGAGTCTGGTTATGGAACCCCAACCTACATTAGGTCTATATGCTTGGCCCAGGGTCTTTGTAAGGCCCTATAGAAAGATGAGAAATTGGGAAAGATGATAAAGGAGTCATTGTTAATTGGATTCAACAGCAGTTGACCATTTTCAGTTTACAAACAGGGCCTTACTCTTGTGAACACCTAGGCTTTTCTTCCCAATGGTATCTGATCTCCTCTGTCCTCTCATTTCCCAGTGGCCTCCCCTGGACTAGACCAGAGAAAGCATCCTACACCCACACACACTCCTGAGGACCAGAGAGGAGGAGCAGTAGCAGGTATGATCTGGAGAGCTCCCCTCACACACTTTTTCTTCCACCCTCAGCCGGCCCCTAAGGGACAGGGCTTCTCAACACCTAAAGCGAAAAGAAGTTACCACCAGCTACTCTCAAGTATGTCTGGTACGTTGGGGTATCTACCTCATAGGTAAAGGGCACAGGAATAATCAATGTGGGTCCTCTGCCCCATGGCTTACAACACCTTCTCCATGCTTGGGTCCCTGACCTATGCTACACCAAGCCTGCCCCAACCCAAAATACTTGGCAGGCTTCAGTGGTGGACAGGCTGAGGGCCACGTGTCATTGTGGGACTCCAGAGCATCAATGAGCCTCCTGCGTAGCGTCTGCACGTTCAAACCAGCCGCTATAAATGAAAACAGGAAGAGGCATCAGGAAAGAACAGACTCTTGTACCCTTGTGAGTTTCACTCACAAACAAGGGTCCCCAAACCAAATCCAAGAAAAAACACATGCCAGCCCTCCTATAAGGAGGGGGTGGGGTGAGGGCTCTTGTGGCTTTAAAGCAAAGCAAGAAGTCCCATCCCTGCCTCTCATTACTGGAGGCTATTTAGTGAACAGAGAAGTCACCATTAGTCTTCTGGCAGACCATCTAAAGAACGTGATTCCTTGGCCCATGTTAGCCCATCTGTCCCTGCTCCTTTCCCTAGAAATGGATCTCTGAGGCTGGTGTCTCCTCAGTGGAATGCTCAGCCTGTCATGACACTCAGCCAATGGTCAAGGATTCAGAGGGTAGAAAGGTGTCCCTCAGAACTGACTTCAGGTTTAGGGCTATTCTGGGAAGATGGTGCCCCACCCACAAACCCAGGACCTTGGGTAGGCCACACTTGAAGGGCTGCTCAAATGGACTTTCCTGCGGCATCTCCTAGGCCGACCAAGGAGACATGTAGAAAAAGACTGCTTGGGGATCTTTTCACCCTTGTGAAAGGGGGTTTTCTTGACCCTGTGGGAACCCAGGTAAAAAGTAAAAAAGGCTGGAAAGAAGACACTGGCAATGTCCACATAACAGCCAGAGTCAGAGAACCCACCTGGCAATGTTGTTCCTGAATCATCCTTGGAGAAGGCCTTAAAAAACTGAAAACAAACAGACAAGAGTCAGCGGTGATGTCAGGTGGGCCTGCATTTAAAGCACAGCTGTTCTCTAACAGGGTGGCTTTGGACAGACTACTTATCTTTTTGAGCCCCACTTCACTTGTAAATGAGATCATGGAGGTCTTGTTCTAGTGTCCTCTCTAGTGTCCTCACATTCAGTCCCTCCTCAACACCAAAGCACTCTTAGAACCTGGAGGCAGCAGCTCAGAACTTTCCTGGAGACCAGGTCCACAAAGCCCTGGCACCTGCCCCTCCTTACTGGAGGCTGTTCAGAGGACAAGTCACCATTCTTCATGAAGACCATGGGAAGAAAAACAAACTGTAACACAGTCTCCAGTAGTACACTGTCCTCTTTCCCCATACATGTGACACCCAGGCCCAGACTGTCATTGGAGTGGGAGGACAGAGAGGACACTAGGCAGCTTAAAACATGGGCTTCTGCCCAAGGGGCAAGATGGCTGCAGGGCTCTTGCCATGTCTTCTTAACTCTAGAGAGAAACGGTGGCTGGCCTGGAAGATACTCAGCTATCTGCAGAAGAGTCTGAAGACTTCTTCATGAGGGCCTCCAACCTTGGGCTCATTTTTTTTTTCTGGTTTGGTCCTCTATTCCAACAGCATGGCCTCAGCCTTATCCCAAGCAGGTGGTTAGGTGTGGCCATGCAGTCTGGCAGAACTGGACTCAAGACCTGGTCTTGAGATGTTCTTGCTGTGTTACCCTGGTAAACCCTTTGGCTTCATTAACCCTTAGTATTCTGATCTTTAAAATGAGAACAACACCAGCAGCCTAGAATTGTTATAAGATTCAATAACATAAAAGCTAAAATAATTACGGCACAGTGACCAGTACATATAATAATTGACTCAATAAATTTCAATTCCATCACCACCATTCTCTTCTATACACACCCCCTTTTGGCACCAGGACACAGTGACCAGCTAGGACTGGTCAGTTCCATTCCTATGTGGGCAGGAAGGGAAAATTCATATGAGTAACAGACTGCAGAAACCAACCTGTGCAATCCCCTACCTGTGATCTTTGTCTGGACCTTGTGACCTCATCACCTTTCCTCCTGCTCTGTACTCCATTCTCTTTTCAAAATATGAATATAATGCTTTATTCATAAGTGAAAACAACCCATTTACATATGTCACAATATGCCCATGTTCTTGACAGCTACTGAACAAATCTTGACCTTGTAAAATTATTATTTTATTACCTGTAAAATGATCACAAATTTCCTGAATTTTTGTGACGTGAAATCAAGCTTGGAACACACACTGGAACCTTTATGGATAAACACTGCTTCTCAGAAACAAAACAAATGTGACTCTGCAGGGCGGTTTGCTCAGTGTGGTACTGCAACTGCACTCTCACTTTGTACAGATAAGACAGAATTACTGCTAGACCTCTCAAGTCATGCACCAGCCTCAGTGGTGTAGCATGCTCACAGCTATAGCAATTACATTCAGCTCTGCAGAACAACATGGTACCTTTCTTTCATCAGTCATCTGGCCACCTAAGTCTGAGCAAGCGCTTGGCTTAAAGGAGCTGGCACCCTCCCCCCAAACAAAAGGCATCTCCTTCACCCTAAATGTCAGGGCTCTAATCTACCATAACTCTGAGTTGAAACCAAGAGGCAGGAGGCCCCTGCCACAGAGTGCATGGCAAAGGAAGTTCTGTGCCGTTACTCTGCCTTCTTAGCATTTAGATGCTTCCTATCTACCTTCCAGAACAGTATCACCCTCTGAGAACGTGGTTCCCACACCTCATGATCTTTGGAAACTTTCTCCTACCAATTAATGACTTTCTCATTATACCCTTCTCTACCAGCTCCTTTCATGGGCTATAAAGAGATCCTAAGAGTCCCCATGTAAACTGTAGGACAGAAGGGAAGAAGGGAGGGACCATGGAAGGGCTTCTTTCTCCAGTCATGGCTTTTCCTATTCCCCTGCACTGCCAAGTGTCTCTTCTACTCCTTGACATCTCTCCCCACTCCTTGGAGCCCATCACACTGCTAAAATCATTCAGGAAAGCCAAGTGATGACTCTAGCTAGTCCCAAGCATCTCCCAGGTGCTGTTTATGCTCTAGGCAGTAGCTGTCTGCTACTTTCCACCTCCCTGTCTAGCTTTTATTTTGTTTTTCCATGCACATTTTCTTGAAACTATCTCTTTCTTGTCTCTCTTTTTTCATGTTGCCACACCCCCTGGACTGCTGGACAGTGACCAGCTCTTCTTGGTTGTTAACCCTTGTCCTAACTTTACCCTTGACTGCCGTCCTGTGCCACTGCTGCTCCCAGTCTCTCTCCTGTTGCTACAGTCTTTCTTTGTTTAAAGTCCTTAAAGGCACCATCAGGAGGAACGGGCTCAGTTTATACTTTGAAATGAATGAATGAGTCAAGAACAAAACTACTGCTTCTCTGTTACCAAGTCATTCACTTTGTTCAGCTGATTTTACTTACTATCTGAGCCTTGGTCTCAGGTCTTTACCTATCCCAGGCTTCTGGTTTCTCCTGGTAAACTCCACAGGGGTGTCAAGGCACCCTACCCACACACCAGCACTGAGTTATCCCTCCTTGAACCCACTTCTGCACCTGTGTTTCATCTCGCCCAGCAATCAGTCCTCCTCCCTGTTTCCCAAGCTAGCATGTCCCTTCCCTACAACCCCCAACCAGTCATCTGGCAAGTTCTATGACTCCGCCTTGGGGATACCTCCTCAACAGCCTTGTCACCTGTCAATAATACCTGTCATCTTGTCTAGACCAGGGCCAGTAAGTGAAAACTTAGTTCCTGATCTATTACATTAGTCCCCATTTGCTTTCTCTTCATGAGTCAGAAATGTTAATCCCAGAAAGTAAGGTGGCTCAACAGGCAAAGGAGCTCACAGCCAACTTTGGCTGCCTGAGTTCAATCCCTAGGATCTACATGGTAGAAAGAGAGAACTAACTCCTGAAAGTCCTCTGACCTCCAAATGCATGTACACACACACACACACACACACACACACACACACACACACACAGACATACACACACACAGACACATGCAGACATACACATATACACACATGCACACACATGCGCACACACGCATAGACATATACACATGCACACACACAGACACATACATACAGACATACACACATACACACATGTACACACACACACACACACACACACACTCTCAATCTGTTCTTCAAATGTCTTCCTCCTTGCCACTGTTTCCTTCTCTAAGGAATAATTATGGGATTCCTCTTCTGATTTGCCATATATCTGTATGGGCTGTGAGTGAGAGCCAAACTCAATACATTTAAGGCCTTCCTTTCAAGATCTGAACCCAAACTGACCCGTCCATTTTTCAACTTGAACTTACTGTCTAGTAACCCACTATGGTGGTTTGACTAACAACGGCACCCATAGGCTCATGTGCTTGAGTGCTTAGTCAACAGGGACTGGAATTACTTGAGAAGGATTAGAAGATATGGCCTTGTCACAGGAGTAGGGGGTAAAGGGTGTGGGTAGGGAGGTAGGTGTGGGCTTTGAGGTTTCAAAAACCCATGTCAGGCCCAAAGTCTGTCTGCTCACCCCCCCCACTGGGCTACAAAGCAGGATTTGGCTTTCAACTACTTTTCCAGTACCATGCCTGCCTGCATGCTACCATTCTCCCCACCATGATAATGAACTCACCCTCTGAAACTGTAAGCAAGCCCCAGTTAAATCTCTTTAAGAGTTGCCTGGTCATGGCATTTCTTCAGAGCAATAGAACAATGACTAATGCACCCACCCACCTGTCTGACTTGGGTGGTGCTAACAGCTTATACATCACTGCAAGCCACACTGTCCCTGGTATGGTGTCTAGCATAGTTAGCTGTCCAGTTCAGCAGCCATAGCCCTTTCATCACCTTGAAGGCTCAAGTAGAAATCTAGTCAGGGCACATTTTTGTCTTCTTAGGAAAATGCGCCCTTGTTAAGTCACCCACTGGAGGTGTGTGCCTACCTGAGGTCGGTTACCCCCCAAAAGGAAAAAAAGCATCCAGAAGTGCGTCTTTTTTCCTGACAGCAGGCAACAGTTCATGGCCTCTCTCTCTTTCTCTCTCTCTCTCTCCCTCTCTCTCTCTCTCACTCTCTTGATTTATTTTATGTGTATATGGCTTTTACCTGCACGTATGCATGTATGTCTGGTACTTGCATTAGTCAGAAGAGACGTTGGATACCTTGGGGTTAAGGGTGGTTTTAAGCCACCACGAGGGTACTGAGAACTGAACCTGGGTCCTCTGCAAGAGCAACAAGGTTTTTAACCTTTGAGGCATCTCTCCAGCCCCGCCTCTTCTTTTCACCCCTCAGTATAGAATAAGACACAGGAAGGCACTTCAGGCACTTCTGCCTCCCTGGACTTGCTGCTCCTGTGAGGCTATGGTCTTTTCACTACAGAGGACAACTGTTAGCACAAGACAAGACATCAGGAACCCAAATAGCTAAACAGAGAGCACAAGTTCCAGGAATGAGTAGTGTTAACACTGGACCTAAGCATACAGAATCAGTTTTCAGACACATAGTCAAGTCCCGAGCATTTTACACTGAGCTCACAGAAAGATCAATAGCCTTAATTACTTAATTTCTCTGTCATGAAAGGTCAGTGTAGAAGAGGGCAGGAAGACAGAAGGTGACAGTGGAGATGAGAACCCATGTCCTTTTCCCAGAGAGGAAGAAGACACCTGAAAACTCACCCTCTGACTACAGAGTTCTAGTAAGAGCTCTATAAAGTAGCAGCCTGGACTCTGTGCTCCACATTGCTCCATACTCTGCCTGGCTTTCAAGAACCTGCCATTCTTGGGCTCCTACTGCCCTTGTCCTGCTTCACCCCTGAACATGATCCTCTATATAACATGCCACACAATTCTGCTCATAGGGCCCCAGCTCTCACCTTCCCTGCCCAAGCTCCTTTGTGCCTAGGATGCACCTACCACACGGAAACTACCATTAGACTCAGGGGACAAGAAAGGAAAAGAAAATTAACATTTACCAAGCCCCACAAAATGTCAATGCCCAGATGCTTCCACAGGTAAAGGCTCTCTTCATACTTGGTGATCTTATTAGTAGATGGTGTCATTCCATTTTTATAGGCAGGAAAACTGTGGTCAGGGCATTAAGTGACTTCCTAGGTCACACACAGTGAGCAGTTCGTATTGGTGAGCTTCTCAGAGATCACTAAATAGGCCTTCAACACCTAATGGGGACACAGCTCTGGTCTAGGGCCTCTTCAGCCAAAACCTACTGCTAACTCATCTCCCTGCATCTTTTTCTGCCAGTGGCATTCTACTCCAGCCTAATGGGGACCTGGCAGAGTAAGATCCTTGCCTTTAGGGCCAGATATTTTCTAAACTGGCTGGGCTAGTGGGAATTCAACACATGCTCATGGTGACAAGGGGCTGGAGGAAGAGAAAAAGGACAGTGGCACATGTCACTTACTATAGTGGCCAGACTTGTGTGGGTATGTCTCCATCACACCATGGGTCCTCATTTAGTGCTCACATAGCCTCTATGGGTAGTGAGCAAAGACTGACTCTGACCCCTAGAGGGCAGCAGTTAGGGCAACAGGGCAATCTGGCAGACTGGCCGACTTTTCTGTTCTGCTTTTTAGAGAGCCCCCGCAGTTTAGGCTTTCATAGGCAAGACTGGAGATCTGAAATATGTATGAGTACTGTTTTAAAACATGCTAGAATCAGCCTTGTAGTAAGATGAAAAGCAAATGCCAATTTAGTAAATGGCAGTACTTTTTTTAAGTGCAACAAAAAATATCATTAAACTTTTGCTTTAGCAATAGTTAACACAAATCAAATTTAGGATCACAATGTAAAACACACATTTCTTATTGCAGGTCACAGTCTGAAGTCATTTAAAAGGCACTTAGAGTTTTGAAGCAGAGGCCTAGCAATAGCATGAACCCTCTGGCCATCTTCTAGAGTGTTAAGGTCAGGACACTGAGTGCTTCTCTTCAGATGAAACTAAGCAGCAGGTTCCTCAGGGAAGGAATGCCATGCCAAGAGAGGCCAGATGAGAGCTTAGGAAACAGACAGCTGTCTACGGAGCTGGCCCAGCCAGGTGCTACCAGTCTGCAAATAAAGGAAAGCCAGAATGACAAGGTAAGGCCCCTCCCAGGTGCTCCCACAGTCAGGTGGGCAGGTAAGGTGATTAATCACTTGAGGCATCCAGGCTTCGTGTACTGCGTGACTTGGGTAGGTGCTGAGAAGTCTCTGAACCTGCACCTGCCTGGGCCTCCTCCTCACACCCAGTGTCTGGCCTCTCCCTGACTGAACAGAAAGTTTCAGGTATTAGGGCACTCTAGAAGATGGGCCAGAGGGTTCATGCTATTTCTAGACCTCTGCCCCAGACTCTAAGTGCCTTTTAAATGACTTTGGACTGTGACCTACAATAAATGTGTATTTTACATTGTGATCCTAAATTTGGTTTGTGTTAACTATTGCTAAAGTAAAAATTTAATGATATTTTTTTTTTGTAACAGAACCTTAACTGACATCCTGAATGGCCTTCCTGTGGGCTAGACAGTGGCTAATCCCCAGCGTTCAGGGCTCACTAAGAAGCAACTATGAGCCCATGGATGATGGCTTCAGCTGCTACACTGGGTTTCCACAGCTACCCACATAGTATTGCTCACTCTGGATCTGCAAAGAACATCCCCACTGAAATACCTTCTTACATATTTTGGAGATGAGGACAACCAGTGTCCTTGCCAGGGAGACTTTCTATTTAAAGAGGTGAGTGCTAAGAGCCTCCAGGATGATATGGCAGTAGCCACTGCTTTGCCACACTGTTCCTCAAAGCAACCTAGCCTGAGAGCATGGGCCTGGGTCCTGACCTTAAGTGGTGATCATTTAGGAAGCGGTGACTCTGGGGTGAGGAGCCTGAGTCCAGTGAGGGTCAGCGATGACACTCCTGTAGATGAAACTGCTGAGTGATCTGGCTTGGATCTGACTGGAACTCAAGGTCCCTGAGCTCAGAGATATCTTGTTCCAGCGTTAATACTTGGCATTTCAGTCTTCAAAGGCACCTCCTGATTATTCTTAATGGCTGTAGAGAAACCGCTTATCTCGATGTCATTCTGGTGGGCAGGGCTGAGCCCTGGGAGGCACCTTAACCTAACTGCTGCATCTGTATCATCTGCTGTGTTAAGGGCTCTTGAAAGCCATAGTAATTCTTCAGTCATCAGATTGTTGGAGAGGCTCAGAGGTTAAGAGCACTGGGCATTCTTTTAGAGGATTTGGGTTCAATTCCCAGCCCACACAACAGTTCACAACTGTCTATTCTTCCAGCTCCAGGGGACCCAACATCCTCACACAGACAGATATACATGGTGTTTGACCAATGCATACAAAATTGAAAACGATTTGTTTTTGTTTGTTTGTTTTTCAAGACAGGGTTTCTCTGTGTAGTCTTGGATGTCCTGGAACTCACTCTGCAGACCAGGCTGGCTTCAAACTTAGAGATCTACCTGCCTCTGCCTTTGGAGTGCTGGGATTAAAAGTGGGTGACACCACTGCCCAGCCATTAAAAACTGTTTTTAAAAGATAGTTGGTGTTCTGTGATCACTGACAAAGTATCATCAGGAAGCTCATGTCTCTGTCTGCCAGAGATGTTGGTGACTTCTGTCCCTGGAAGCTCTACCATCTGAAGCACTGCACATGTTGCCTATGAGGGTGAGGCAATCCCTTAAGTCACTGTGGGTTGCTTGTGTGTTGTGTGTTGTGGGTTGCTCTTCCTTGATGAGAATGAAGTACACTGGTATCTCAAGGAACAATAGGCCCCAGAGGATGATAGACCCACAAGTGGGTCGGAGCCTGAATCCTGGGTTTAGAGTATGATCAGACCTCCAAAGTGGGAGCTCACATGTGAGAACTGAAAAGGACTCTTAGAAGTAGCAGCACTCACTAGCTTGTGTGATGACTACCTTACAATACAATGTTCCATCAGAGGTGGACAGTGCTCCATCAGGAGGTGGGCAGAGATCCAGAATCTAGGACTTTAAAAACTCAGGCCCAGAGGCATCAGAGGGCTCCTCTAAGCTCAGCAGCCCCAAGGAGGTCCCAGGAAATGTGGAGCAGGTGGCCACATGCTCAGCCAGAGCCATCCCTAGCTCTCCTTTTCCCTTTGTCACATACCCTCACAGTTGGGAAGCCAGCGATGTTGAAGTCTCTGCAGACAGCAGTATTGGTCTCATCAGCACAGTCCAGGACAGCAAGATTCAGTGCTGGCCTCCAGTCTGAAAGGACAGATCATTCCAGTAAGTGAGAGAGCTAGCCTCGTGCTGCTCTTCCATCTAAAACCCCACAGCCATTAATTCCCTAAATTCCTCTGAGGAAGGGCATATTTAAAAAAAAAAAAATGACCTCTGAGACAGTTCCCTCACAAGAAAGGATCTATACAGTTAAGGACATAGTTAAATAACATGGCATCTGTATTCACCTTGTGCTTAGTGGGATGTGGATGTGGCATGGGGCTAGAAGAGCTAAGAATGACAAATGAGTGTAGCCCCCAGAAAAGCCCCCAGTACTGCTCCTGAAGAGCTACCTCAGAAGGAGATCAGTTCCCAAAGGGAGAACATGCCTTGGGAGCTTGTATTCCCCAGTGAAGTACCGAGCCAAAAAAGAGGAACACTCCTAGGAGGGAAAGAAAGCAGGAGATCCAAGACACTCAGGGAAGGAGGGCAACAAACAGTCAGGAGGGCTGGCTGTTTCTTCTTCAAGCCCTGTGATGATATCTTACTTGTACAAATAAAGCCTGTCTGAAGGTCAGAGAATGAAGTGTGCCACTAGCACACATAGAGGTCTGTAGGTCTGTACAGACAGACAGGAAGTGAGCTAGCTGGGTGGAAACAGGATATAAGGAGGGAGAAACAGGAACTGGTTCTCTTATCTGCTGAGAGGTAAGGAGGTAAGGTGTGGCAGTGGCTTGCTCCTTCTCTCTGATCTCTCAGCATCTTCCTCTATATCTAACTCTGGGTTTTTATTATTTAGATCAATTAAGAACTCCATTTACAAAGCCCCAGGGCAAAGCCTTCCCCCTGAGAAAATATTGGCACAAACCAGAAACTCACAGGAAATCAATTCATACTAAGCAGCTCTCTGAGCTCTGACTCAGGTCAGGGGTGCCAGTTCTAGTCTAGCACAAGAGCAGGACATATATACATGGGGCCATCTAAACCTTGAGAAAGCAGTGGCCAATGTGGAATTCTATAGCACAGACCTCCACGCTTTGAGGCATTGAAGATATTAGTCTTGGGGGCCAAGGCATGGACTTTTCTAGCCTCGGCCTTACTCTGCTTCCCCTTGGTACAAACAGTCTGTAGCCTGTCCACAGGGATTTGCTCGCCTGACTCCAAATCCTGTCTATCCTCTCCCCTACTCAAGCCATCACTCCCTTGTCCTGTTCTAAGTGGCTTGGACACTTGGTCTGGTTTCTTTACTTTGAAGCTACCTTCCACACCCAGTGAGCTGGTACCGCATCTCCCACAGAAGGTCTTGGGATAATCGCATACACCCTACTTCTCCTTCACTGCCTCTCCAGCTACCACTTGTCTTCCCTCTCTGTTGTTCTAACTGTGCCACCAGAATACTCTGGTAGTTCTGAGCATCTTTCAAGATACTGCCTCTGTCCACATATCTACTTCCCTCTTAGCATTTCTCCAAAACAAAGTCAAAGGTTTCTTTCTTCTCTGACAGCATGGTTGTCATGTATCTCCAGACACTCCACAAAAGCAAGGGCCTCTCTGCAGACTCCCCTGTCAGATCCAACTCAGCTGGATGGAATATTACTTTCTCTCAGGAAGTAGTTTGGACCCACATAACAATTGGTGTGTTCTCTACCTTTTAGTTTTTTGGACTCCCTGCTGTCCAACAACCCTTACAGAGCACACCTTAGGCACTCAGCCTAGACTCAGGACCAGCTCTCAGCATGTGGTCACTCAAATGCCTGGATACTTTCTCTTTGTTTCCAGTCTCAGTTTTTTCCTACAGTCTAGGTAGTAGGTGAAGTTAGAGTAGTCTTCTGTGATAATGCCTGGATTCATTTATTATTCATTTATCCTTTAAAGCAGTGGTTCTCAACCTTCCTAATGCTGTGACCCTTTAATTCAGTTCCTCATGTTATGGAGATAGCCTACCACAAGATTATTTCATTGCTACCTTATTACTGTAATTTTGCTACAGTCATGGATAATAATGCAAATATCTGTGTTTTCTGATGGTCTTAGGTGACTCTTGTGAAAGGGTCATCAACCTCAAATGGGTTGGGGCCCACAGGGTGAGAACAACTTCTTTAAAGAAAGAGCAAGGTCACAGAAGAGCTTGTCAGTGGTCACCTCTTGTCCAAGTTCAGCATCTCACTCTGGATTGCAGACAAGATAATATTATCTTTCTGTGCCCCTGCCAAAGGGAGACCAGGGCTAGTGAGATGAGATATACAGTTCATCTTCTAGGGCCATCTGGCACACTTTGAGTCTAGTTCCTTTTGTTCTACCTCTAGGGCAGAACTTTGTTCAGCAGTGACTTACAGGAAAGGGCAGCTATCCTTAAGAATTATCGGCACGTACCACATAGGAAGAGGATAAGAGGGGACATTCTGTGTCTTCACACCCCACTGCCACTATTTGATGTGGCCATCACACCCCCTTATCTGCAAATGAAGATATGGACTCAGAAGCTTCCCACATTGAGAGGCCTGTGAGACTGGACAAACTCACTTGTTCCTCTCTACACTGTACCAGAGTCAGGGCATTAATTTCATATATATGATCTTGCTCCAATTATAGCCTTCTCTAAAGATGAAATGGCAAAAATAGTTGTGCCATCTAGTTAAATATTCTCTATAACTGATAGCAACCTGGGATTCAGCCTTACTTAGAAGACTGTGCTATCGGCACATGTAGTGAGTTTATTGTGTGCTCAATTATCTAGTTCAGCGCTCTCAATAAGCCAGTGAGGAAGTACTAAGACATTTATCTCCAAATCTGATTTCCGTAACTATAAAAAAGATCTGATAACCATGTCCAAGACATGGCAAGCTAATTAATGAGAAATGTAAGATCTGAACCCTGGATTTGAGCCTTGGAACTAATTCCAGAAGGATTCAGACCAGACCAGACAGATTCTATATTGGTTTTCCAACTGGGATGCAGGAAGGATGCAGGTCAGCAGTGGAGGACAAGAGAGAAGATGATGCTTGGGTTGGTTTGCTTTTGCACCTCCCTCTCCTTTGGAGACAGGGTCTCACTATGTAGCCTTGGCTGACCTCTAACTCAGGGATCTGAGTGTCCCTGCCTCCCAAGTGCTGGGGTTAAAGGCATGCTTTACCAACTTGCCTTGCTCTCTTTAAACTTTGATTATGTGTGCTCTATGAAATGAAACTAGAACTTTTCTGACCTGCTTCAATCTCAAGGGGTGGTGGAGGTGGGAGCTGGGGCCAATTAGATGCTGGTTAAGTTCTGACTAAGGATGTTTTTCAGGTGTCTTGATGTTTGTACCCTAAAGAGCAACAGTGACACATACAGCTATGGATTGCACTATACATCAGACACTGCAGACCTGGCTATTTATGATTCTAGTGCATTAAATATCATTTCCAGGAGCCCACTGGTTTGGACTGAGCTAATGCACCAGGGGCAACAGATCAAATGAGATAGAGTCACCTCATGCTGAAGTTCTAAGCCACTAAATTGAAAACAAGCTATCTGACTTCCCAAGAGAGCAGAAGAGATAGATAACCACCACATCCACAAAAGACCAGCTTTAGCCAGCATTATAATGAAGTCTCTCTAAGGCAGTGGTTCTCAACCTGTGGGTCATGACCCCTTTGGGGGGGTCACATATCAGTTATTCTGCACATTAGATATTTACATTATAATTCATAACTAGCATAAGTACACTTATGAAGTAGCAATGAAATAATTGTATGGTTGAGAATCACCACACATGGTATTAAAGGGTTGGTCGAAACATCAGGATGGTTGAGAACCACTGCTGAAAGGTTACAGGGAAGTAACTATGAAATGACCAATATATTTTGCTTGCTTATTTTCTGTGTCCTCTTGTCTTTAGCCCTTTTGTTGGTAAAGCCACACCCTCAACTCAGCTCATCAATTCATAACAGGATTCCAGAGTCACAAATAAAAGTCAATTAAGTTATTTAAACTAAATTTTCTTTATCTGAGTGTCTCATTGGTATAGCACAGCTATGTGGTAGGAGAGTGTGTCTTATTGTCAGTGAGAAGGGCTTTCTGGTGTTTGGTTTCTTACACCACCCAACTCACTCTTGAGGAGAAGCATTTCCAACTACATTTAGACTTGGGCAGAATAGTTTCTCTAGTAGTAACACAGTAAATGGACAGTGGACAGGAAGGATGGCAAGAAAGGCAAGCGAGGTATACATTTTGCAATGATGGGTGAGGGGAAAAATTCTGGTGGGAATTTAACTGTGCCCTGGAGTGTCTCCTGGAGTCCCAGGCAGGGTCACCTCAGCTCCTTAGTGCAAGAAGGCCCTGAACCCAGAGGCAGAAGAATGAGCCCAGTAACCTGGCCAACACATGCATGCTAAACATGCCGCCTCTCAGACTCTCAGCTCCTCATGGGTCGAAGGCCAGGACTGATGGCCTCTACTGCCCTTTGCAGCCCCAACACAAAGTCTTCTTGTTCATACCAACATCTGGAATCCTGTGAGGCTTTGGCTGTCGTAAATGTGTTCCCATGCTACACCATACTCTGTGGTAGGCATCACAGGGACACAAATACAAGATGTCATCCATGCTCTCAAAAGGAAAGAAAGGCAAAGCCAACTCTGATCACGAAGTTCAACTGTGCGTGCCTCACAAACCTTGGTTGGTTCCGTATGTGCTGCTTTCCTACAGGGAGAGCACGACTTCCTGCAGCCACCTGCCCATGCTGTGAAGTCAGACACCGTCAAGGCAAGAACCCCACAGGGACTGGAGAGACGGCTCAGGGGTTAAGAGCTCTTGCTATTCTCGAAGAGAACCTGGGTTTGCTTTCTAGTGCTGACAGTGGCAACTCACAACCATCTGAAAATATGTCCCAGAGGACCCAATGTCCCTTTTGGCCTCTGAGGTACCAGTGACACATGTGTTGAATAGGCACACATGCAGGTGAAACACATAAATAAAAACAAACAAATCTTTAAGGAAAAAAAAGGACCTTCTGCCAGCATTTTTATAATCATACTTGCCTGTTGTTGATTTTTTTTAAAGGACATGTTTTTGCTCTGTTTCCTGGCTCAAACTGTGAACACTCACTCTGACATGCACTTGTGCCATGATAAACTACTCTTGCCAAAGGCCCAACACAATGAGCTACCCTGTCTTGAACTTGTACCTTCATAATCAAGAGCCAAAATAAATGGAGGGTGTGGAGACAAGGTATTTCTCTTCAGTTTTCCCAGGTGAAGATGAAAAGCCCTTAGCAAAGAGCTGCCCGAACGAAGGCTGTGGCAACTAGATTACCTTTCTGTGACTGTCCCCTTATTTGAATTCCCACCATAAGAAATAGATGAACCACTCCTGCCTTTTTCAAACACAGCTTCATACGGCTGCCCATTTTCCAGCTATGTGTAGGTCATTGCCCCAGCTGCCATGTAACCAATGCTTTGTCACTCAACAAATATTTGCTGAATGATTAGCCAGTGAAGAGTAATGAAGGTCCCAATTGGGCCTAATCATTTTCTCAAACATATGGTGAGACAACAGGATCTGCTCTGGAATAGAAAGGGGTGAACAAGCCCTCCAGGAACAAGCATTCTGTCCCAGGGCAGTGGCTTCCCAGAGACTGTGCCATCCAACTCACAAAGAAATGAGCCCTATCCAGTCACATTGAATCCTTAAAGCCAGCTGGCCAGGGTTATAAAATGTCTCCCCAACTCCCATGATCTTCCATCCACTCTCTCTGTTCCTGTTCTAGACACTGGTGGCAGCACAGGACAGTTTACTACTGTGTCATGACTCAGAGTGGTTTGAGCATAGCCATCTGCCAGCCCACAACCATACTTCCTCAAGGAATCTCAGAACACAGAAATATGATTGTCCCAGTTTCTCAGCAGGGAACTCCCCTATAGGTTCCAGTGGTAGACACTCCTCACTGTCACAGGCCAACTCCAGAGTCTTCTCTCCACATATACAATGTTGATAAAGGAGGGACTCACCCCACTCCTGCCCCATGGCCAAAAAGAGACCCCAGTTTCCATTGAGATCTCCCGTCTCCCATTTTCCCCGATTTTCTCCATAGACTTTGGTGTCTCCATTTTCTCCTTCCAGAAGTTAAGATTTGCTTTGTTTTTTCTTTTCAGAGAAGGGCTGTTCCCCCCATGCAAGACCCTTTTTGGAAATGGCAACCCTCATACAGAAACAGGCTGCATTAGTACGTGCATAAGCAACTCATAGGGAAACTCCGGGTTGCAAGAGGCCAAACACGTGAGTCAGCTGGAAGCTAATCTTTCCCTTCAGCATGCTGAAAATACAAGAATCTTCTAGAATGAGTCTATATACTGCCATTAGAGACCTCTTACAGACTCAACTTAGAAACCAGTTGGGGAGTTTTATGGTGTTTGGGCCCATGTTGTCCTGATATAACCTCCCCTCGGTGTTTCAGTACCATAGTCTGCATTCTTTATCCCTTCTGCCCTGACAAGGTGTGTTGACGTCATTAAAATAGTGTTAAGGACTGCTCATGTGGATGATAGGACCAGAGAGGCATGTGGGCAAGTATAATTTGGATGTAAGGACAAAAACCTTGTAAGTGCTGTTAAAAATTATTTTTGAAAACTACACATCGTTCTATGTGACCACTTCAGTGACCACTTTGCCAGCTGCGCAGAGGAGGGGGAGACTAAGTACATGGATGGACAGAAGCACTATTCACACACAGTTACTTCAGGTTAAGAGCTTGGCTGGTGCCCTGCCTGGCACCACAAACCAGGGAACACTCCACAGAGAAGCAGCAAAATCAAAAACCAGTCCCCATCACCATGCCACTCCTGCCCCCCCCCCACAAACACCCATGGCTGAGTTAGGAAGAGGTGGATCTTTAAGCTGCAGAGAGGAAATTCTGTCCTGCCTGCAGTACAGGGGGTTTCCTAGTTAAGCACTCAGCATATATAATCACCATTATTAATTACCATGTCCCCCTAGCTCTAAGTCCTAAGTTTTTAAATATTTTAAAATTGTTACAAAATAGCACACCTTAAAAATCTCTATACATTCTGTGGTTTTCTTATCCTGCTGCCCCTTAGGCTGTAATTAAATGAATAGAGGGCCCCACAATTAGCAATTTAGAATCAAAGAAACTTGGTCTTAATGTCCAGTGTAGTGACTGGAGCACAGAGCAAGGGCCAACTACATAGCACAGGGCTACATTTAGTTTGGTTTCATGGGGTTAAAGGTTAAGGTCTAAGTGAGCCTAGACCCCAGGGGAAGAGAAATAAAGATGTTGACAAGAAACTAAGGAGCTAGAGGCAGCACCTGGATTGGAAATAGGCAAACAGGAAAGCATCCAACTCAAAGACAGGAATGAGAAAGGCAATGTGTGGGCCAACTATGTATCTAGCCACGGGGATCGGGAAAGGTGGTGGAGGTGGTAGAATGAATGTCAACTGTCTTTTGTCCCCAGCACTGTTCCACCACCACATCTAAGGAAGTTGGCAAGAAGTCCCTGGACAAGGAAGGGTACTGCCACAAAGCTGGACTGGAGAAAGCCCCGGGGGAGAGAGAGCACAGGGAACAAGGAAACCCCTCTCAGTTTAGAGGATGAGCCAGAAGCAGAGGGCTGGGGGGTGAGGGGTATCCAGGAGAACTTGAAGGCTATGAATTGGGGGAGAGGAGGGACTGCGATGGGCTAAGGAAGCAGCGAGGGGAGGGGACAGGCTAGCGGGGGAGGCCTCCACTTCTCACCCTGCACGTCGTTGGCTAGCTCCCTCCACGTCGGGGCGAAGGCGATGCAGTGGCCACACCAGGAGGCGAAGAACTCCACCACCCAGGCGCTACTGGAGCCCAGCACTGTCGAGCGCACCGTGTTCGCATCCAGCAGCGTCAGCGGATCTGAGGACGAGTAGAGAACCGAGAGGTGGGCCGCGCCAGCGCCAGCGCCGGGCACCGCGAGCAGCAGCAGCGGGAGCAGAAGCAGTAGCATCTGCGACGGCGACCCCGAGTGGCGGCCGCACCTCCTCATCCTAGGCGGCTGGAACGTCCACCTCGCCTAAGTTTGTGACCAGTCCGTGCCAGGAGGCCGCCGCGATCCCGCGGTCTCCACCCGCGAGGAGGAGGAGCTACGAGGCCCCGCCCCCAGGCCGGCCCCGCCCCTGCCGGCCGCGGGCCCTGAGAGTCCGCGCGTGAGCTGCCGCCAGTGCGGGTCCCGGTGGAGGTCGGTGCCGTCCAGTCCCGCCCCGCTCCCACCGCTCTGGGCTCCGGAGCCAGGTCCGCAAATGGCTGCAGAGAGCCTGAGGCCGCGGCTCGGGTCTCCGAGGGGGCCGGGGCGGCGTTTGGCCACTCTCGGCCCCCGTATCCGAAGGAAGCGGAGTCCGTTGGAATGGTCGTTACTGGTTTACCTTGTTCCTGGAAAGTTCCAGGGTCTCCCTCAAGCAGTTTTGACAGTGGGAATTCGAAGTAGGTGGGAGAAAAGAGCCGCGAGGTAGGAGACTGTGGTTGTCAAGGCCCACAGGAGCCAGAAGTACGCAGGCCTCGGGAGGCCAGTGGCCGTTCAGTCTAGGGAGCTAGTGCTTGAGGGCTTTGTACCCACGGCCAAGATTGCCCTCTGCACAGCCGGCTGGGCTCCCTTGCTGCGGAAGCAGAGTTTCGTTAGCTTTCACATCCCACCACCTTCGAGGTTGTAGGGTGGATTCCACCAGGGGGCGGCTCCTCACAACCCTAGACCCTGTATCTCCCCGAAGCTGTCTTGTGAGATACCATGAAGGGAGTCCTCAGAGAACACTGACGTGTGTGTGTGTGTGTGTGTGTGTGTGTGTGTGTGTGTGTGTGTGTGTGTACGCGCGCGCACACTTGGGTTAGGCCTTCCCTGTGACCCCTTAGGAGCTCTTGAGATTTGTTACTCATTTTCTTCAGCAGAAATGGAGTAGTGTCTTGGTGCCAGTCATGCACCAGATATTAAGAATAAAGCGATAAAGGACTGAGGGGTGTGGATCTTACATTGGGTCTAAAGGGTGACACACAAGTAAATGTAGATTGACTGGTGACAAATACTGTGGGGAAATAGGGTTACAATAGAGTGACGAAGGAGGTGCTCTTCTAGACAGTGGTCAGGGACAGGTGCATTTTAGTATTTGCAGTGACTGAGTCAATAATACTACTGAAGAGCAAATATAGGATACTTAAAAATGTCAACCTACTGAGTGGGGTGAGGCATGCCTACAGTCCTAGCTATTCTGCAGGCTTAAGTGAGACAGTAGGAGTGCCAGGCCAACGAGGGCTACACAGTGTCTCGGAAAACAAAACAACCAAATTGTTATATAGAATTCCTACCCTTTCATCTAGACAGGTATCATAATAATCTGGAAGGCCAATTTCTTTCTCTGGAGTTCTTGAACTCCCTCCCCTAAGATGTCTGCTGGAATGTGTTGACTTTGAGGGTGACTGGTTCCTGGCTTTCTTTTTGCTGTTTGCACTCTGCTGTGTTCCACTGTGAGTACACAGTTGTTAATAGCCTTCTTTGTATGTCGAGCTTCATACAATCTACAAACAGCCTCAACTCTTCAGAATGAGAAACCTTGGGAAAGGCTATGTGCCTAGTGCCAGCCTATTGCTATAAAGATGATTTTTTTTTTTAGGTCCTCAGGTGTGCAATTCATAATTTTTAAGTCAGTAAGAAGCAGCTGCTCTGAGTGGTGCACATGGATTTTTTTGTTTTGTTTTGTTGAGATAGGATTCTCTATTATGTAGTCCTGGAACTCTTGCTGTACACCCCACCCCTGGTGTACATGGGCTTCTTGCTCTGTGGAAATGAGGAGGCTGAAAGAAGGTAGCCCCAGGATTGGGTTTGGGGTGACCCAATTTTAAGGAAGTTTTTGTTTTTATTTTTTTAATGTGCATCGGTGTTTTGCCTGAATGTATGTCTGTATGAGGGTGTTGGATCCCCTGGAACTAGAGTTACAGACAGTTTTAAACTGCCATGTGGGTGCTGGGAATTGATTCCGGATTCTCTGCTGCAAGAGCAGCCTGTCCTCTTTACTGCTGAGCCATCTCTCCAGCCCGTAAAGAAGTTCTTATGAGGAAACACTTCAACCACAGATTGGAATGATGTTTGGGAGGGAACTTAGTGACAATCTCAGATAAGACCATTCCAGGCAGAGGTCCAACAGCTGGGGCTTTTGCTATCTTCAAGTATTTATATTCTCTGTGCCTAACATTTAAAACTCATAAGGAAATTACCTCACCAACTAAGGTAAGCTCCTCTCTAACCCTAAGCAGTTCAGTGTGCTAGGCATTCTTCCCCACTTCTGTCCATCCTAGTGGCTACTGGCCTAAGATATCTCCTGGGAACTTTGGATTCCAGGGATTGAAAGTACTGTAGCTACTAGGTCAGGTGCCAGTGAAATGTGCCTTCAATGACTACCATTAAAGGTGTGTAGTTAGCTTCCCCAGAGGCCTTAAAGAGACTTTGTGTGGAGACTTTGTGCCTGGGAAAGAAAGGAAAGAGAAATACACAAAGATGGGCATGTTTCCATATCTTAGAGAATCATAAATGGGAAAGAATACAAAGTATCTGAATAAAGCAGAGAACGGTTCTTGGCAGAGGCCAAAATGATTAGGACTGGGGGTTATAATGTCTGCAGTTTCAATTTTTTAATCTTGGAAGCCCTAGTTCATCTTTGAGAGAAAGTTGATGACACCAAGCTCAGAGTGACCTAGAGTAGTTCCTACTTTCTGTGGTCTCTGGGGCTTCTTGGGAAGTGTTGGTCCAGAGTTAGCAGAAAATAGGAACTACAGGTCTAACCACAGCTGGTGAAGCCTGCCTACCTGATTTCGATGCCTGGTTCCCTGATGTGGTGTCACAAGAAACCCAGCTTTCTACAATTTGCCCACTGACCTCCACTCCTTCACCATGGTACCCCTCCACCCCCAATAAATAACAGTATGTCAGTGTGGCCTTATTGTGCTTCTTAGGATGAAAACATGACAGAAAATGGAGTTTCTCATTAATGAGAAGTGGAGAGTGGATGGGATGCTGCAGAAACAATTGAGAATTTGGCAGAGGGGGATTTATCCTTTCTCTTTCTTTACAAACCCTAGTAAAATGGGCTGAGTTGACTCAGCTGAGGATACAGACAACATTAGATATACATTTTATATTTGCCATACAAAGCACTACCTCTACTACTCATTTGGTCTTTCTAACTGTGAGGTTGATATGGTCCCATTTTACAGTTGAAACTAACAAGGGACTGTGTTGACTTTCCTACCTATGAGTCATTCCTGTATTATGCAGGAATTAAAGAGGGAATTTGGGGATCTAATGAGATAGATGGTGAGAGGAATGTAGCTTATCCACAGACACAGATAATTATGGTGAACAACAGAGGAGTGTTTGGTAAAACATGTCACCAGGTAACAGCATTAGATGACTGTCTACTTACTCATCTGTAGGAAGCATCAGAGGGGTGTGTGCACTAGGAGGAAATGCCAGCATCAGAAGAGAAACACATGTTTGCCCCTTTAAACTTGCCCCTAAATGCTCCAGACAAATTTGTGGTGTTCATGAGTTCCTTTTCTTTTGCTAGTAGCACAATACCACATGCTGAGTAGATTCTAAATAAAAAGGAAGGTATTTTATTTTGAGGGTTCTGAAGGCCTTCCTGCTGGCAGAATACCCTAAGAGACAGGGCACACTGCTGTGTATCTTGTCTCATTTCCCTCAGGTTTCCAGGTGCTGAGGATCACAGGACCTTGCACTTGAGTGCTCTCGTGCAGGGCTGAAACCAAGCCCTTGATTTTTCAAGACTTTAGCCTTAGCTATGTAGAGAGCCTCCTGCTTCTGGCCCTCCCTTCCCTTGGGTGCTGGGATTATAGGCAGTCACCACCACACTCAACTCTTCTCTCTCTTGCAAACCTGGAGTTCAATCATGGCTCCACTCTGATGACCTCATCTCATCCACATCACTTCTCAAAGTCAGATTGTTGCCACTTGCTCTTATTTTGTCTCACTAAGTCCAGCTGGGCCTTAAACTCTTACTCCTCTGCTTTGGCCTTCTGAGTGGTTGATGATACAGGCACGTGCCACCCACCATAGCAGGCTGTTTTTAATCCTCTTAATACCTCACAGTAGGTATTAGATTTAAACACAGGACACATTGAGGTATATATACTCAAACTATATCCAAACCACAGCTGGGGCAATTAGAATTCTCAAAAGAAGCAGAATCTATGGCAGGAAAGAAAAGGCACATTTAAAGCCTACTGCATTGGTTTCTTATTGCAGTGACAAAATAACTGACAACCTAAGAGAGGAAGGGGTATTGTAGCTCACGGTTTTAGAGGATATAGTTATGATTGGAAGATGTGGCAGCAGAAGATTTAGGCAGAGGTCTCATTAATCTTCAGTCAAAGTAGAGAGAAATGCATGTTCATGTCTACCTCCCTCCCACTTTTTTATTCATTCAGTCAAGGACCCCATCCTGTGAGATGATGTTCCCTACACCAGATGGGTCTTCTCCCTTAAACCTCTGTGGAAATCCCCCTACATGTACCCAGTACTGAGCTGCCTAGCTAGTTCTAATCCACTCACTTGACAGTACTCCTAGAAGACTGTTTACAGAGGCATGTGCCTGCAGAGAGGACTGACTTAAAGACTAGCTACAGCTAAGAGTCCTTTTAGCACTCCTAAACCAGAGTGGGGAGAAGGAGGGTATTAACTGAGGAAAACTAGCAAGGGCTTGAGTCCAGCAAGAGAGGTTACCCAACTGGAATTTTAACCACAAAATGTCACTGTGGCTAGAAATATGAGGAAGCTGGAGAGAGTGGAGAAGCTCCAGGAAAGTATAATTTCCAACACTTTCTTCTCCAGTCTTGTGCTCCTCTGGCCAGTATTTCCCATTGGAAATGCCACCCGGAAGCAGGGAGGGTGCTCTAATTATATAGTCTGCAGGAACCAGCTTTCAAGGCAAGGGGCAGGTTAGAGGAAGGGAGGGCATAAGGAAAGCAATGCCTAACTTAGAATCCCTAAACTTGGGTCTTTCCAGGTTGTAGAAACAGGTCTAGAAAACACAAATTCTTGAAC